CCAAGTCAGGGTGCCAGGTTTCTCTTCCATTCTGTTCCAGGGCAGTTCCAAAGCTACAGGGAAATCAAGGGGAAAATAACAACCACAAAAGAGACGTTTGCCATGACACTAATGGTTGAATTTCAGACACTCGCTGAAGCCTAGTGGGAAGGGAGAACACAGGAGAAGAAACAACCAACTTTAACTTCCCCATTACTCTCAGATGTTTACTCTGAGACTATCCCGTGAACAAAAACTAAAAAGACAATACAGAAACAAAAGCAAAGAAGAAAAAAATCAAGAAAATAAAAATAACATGCTTAGGTATGCTTTGTTAATTTTCCCTTCCCTTGTGAACATCTGCTCTCTAGAACATGGTTTCAGGAGCCACAGAGTGTCTGAAAGAATGGGCTCAAACACAGCAACAATTGTGAGGATGGCGCAGGACCAGGCAGTGTTTCGTTCTGTTGTACATCAGTTCGCTATGAGTCAGAACTGACTCAATGATTCCTAACAACAACAACAAACCTGGCTTTAAAAATAGACATAGCAGGGATGGGTTCATGAAAAGAACAGGTGTTGGTGAGGCAGTGGAGAAAATTGCTCTTCAATTGCTAGTGGGAATGTAAAATGGTACAGCCACTGTGGAAACAGCTGTCATTTCCTCAGAAAATTAAACATAGACTTACCGTATGATCCAGCAACCCCAATCCTAAGTATATATCTGAAGGAACTGAAAACAGGAACACAGATACTTTTACACAAGTGTTTACTGCAGCACTATTCACAATAGCCGAAAGGTAGAAACAGCCTAAATGTCCATCAACAGAGAAATGGATGAACAAAATGTGGTACATACATACAATGGGATATTACTCTGCCATAAAGAGAAATGAAGTCCTGATACACGCTACAACATGGATGAACCTTGAAATCATTATGCTGAGTGAAATAAGTCAGACACAAAAGGACAAAGGTATAACCCCACTTCTATAAAATATCTAGAATAGGCAATTATATAGGGACCAAAGTTCATTAGCGGTTACCAGGGGTGGGTGAGAGGAAGGGAGGAAGAGGGGACTCATTGCTTAGGGGACACTCTTCTGTTAAGGGTGGTGGAAAATTTGGGAACAGATAAGGGTGACTGTTGAACAACATGATCAACATAATTAATGTCACTGAATTGTAAATGTGAAGACTGTGGAAACAGCAACTGTTTTGTTAGATACATATATATACCACAATAAAAAAAAGTGAAAAAAAAAGTTAAATGACAAAGGCTTGGGAAGTTCTATAGAACACTATTAAATAGCACTATAGAGGTTCTATTAAAGCCCTTGTCAAATGAGCAACTTTGAAAATTAAGTGCCAAAGAGAATCAAGCTGGGAAAGCCCCCCCACCAATTTTAGTTAATGGGATGGACATATTAGATAGCATTGCAATGTTTTAGTACAAGAAATAAACAATGTCTGCTTTTAGAAATATAAAATTCTTCCATTTACCCAGCATCCTGAATTCTCAGTTTTCAATGTTTTATTATATATCATAGAATTATTAGTGTATCTGTGTACAAAGATAATGGTATTATTATTTTGTCAGCTAGTCAAGATTTAAGACATAGTTCTGAAGCCACATATGCTATTGATTTTCTTTTGCTTATGTGTTTATTTCAAAGCTATTTTGAATTGGTTCAATATGTATTTGATCTTTCTATTTGATCATAAATTCCTCATCATCCCTCCTCAAAATATAAAACTTTGAATATAGCAAGTTTTCTACCAATGTTAACTGACCAACATAAAGTCTGTCCCTTAAAAAAAATTACTATTTATTTCAAAGCTGCTATCATTATTTTAGGGGCCAAAGATGGTTCAGTGGTAGAATTCTTCCCTTCCATGCAGGAGACCCAGGTTTGATTCCTGGCCAAGGCACCTCATGTGCAGCTACCACCCATCTGTCAGTGGAGGATTGCATGTTGCTATGATGCTGAATAGGCTTCATTGGAGCTCCTAGACTAAGATGGACTAGGAAGTAAGGCCTCATGATTTACTTTTGAAAATCAGCCAATGAAAATCCTATGGATCACGTTTCATTGTGCATGAGGTCACCATGAGTCAGAGCCAACATGACGAGAGCTAACAAAAGCATAATTATTTTGTTGGCATACAATTGCTGTGATACACCAACAAGAATACTTTCATTTTACTACTCTCTTAATATCATCTATAAAGATTGTATATTTCTCTAGATCTTTTTTATATTACTTTAGTGAGGCTTTGACAAATAGAACTTAGTGTTGTCTGGTTCCTTAGAGGTCACCAAGTATAATCTCTCTCCCTGGGCTTGAAAACCTCTAATCACTTCCTGGAGAAAAGACAGGGCTTTCATTGAATATTTACTGAAGCAAGAATCATCACCCTACAAGAAAAGTTTCTGGACAATTTTCATTGCTAGAAAGTCTTTATGTGGAGAACACATTTGTCTTTTTGCAATTCTCACGTGTTGGTTTTGGTATGTCTCTGAAAGCACTCCAGACAAGTCTATCTCCTGTCCACATACATGGTAACACTTCAGTTCTAAATCCTCTTTTTCTGGCTAAATATTCCTGGATCCTTCCAATTGTCTTCATTTAACCTAGTTTTCAGACTCCAGTTGTCATAATCTTGACACAATCCACATTCTCAGTGACAGTCTTATAAGATGGCACTAAGAACCAAATGTACTATTAGTTGCACTGTGATTAGGGTGAGGTGACGGGGCACTCGCTTCAAGGGCAACGTTTAAGAGAGTGCCCAAAACAACAGGATCCACTGGGGTCAGGATATGGGTGATGAGAATGAGGTAAGTCGTACAAGTACAGGGTCAGATCCTGTCTTCACGAGCTGTAATTGTGAATCCTTTAACGTATTTATGAAAAACACAAAAGATGGAAACGAAGCATCACTGAGAATAAGAATTTGCTTTTCCACAAGGCACAGAAACAGTTTATCTGTCTCCAATAATGACAATAAGCACAGAAACATTAATTCCCATTTATTGAGTATGTGAGAGGCTCAATACCAATTTCTTTAGACATTAATTCAAATTCTTCCGACAACATTAAAAAGTCAATATTATTATTCCTGTTTTAAAAGTGAGCAAATCAAGGCTCAGAGATAGCACATGACTTGGCCAAAGTCACACAGTTGGTACGTGGTTGTGACAGTATTTGAGGTCAGGTTTGTCAGCCTCCAATACCTGCGTCTTTTGCCAAGAGCTACCTCTCAGCTCCACAAGCATTCTCTCCACTAGAATGGTAAACTCTTTAATGACATGATCCCCAGGCACCACCTCAGTGTGGACAAAATGCTCTAAAACATTCTCCACCTCAGACCCACAAATCAGTAGTTGTTTTGTTCTAACCTCTTTACCCAAGTGCGTCAGTTTTGAGGAATGTGTGCCCTGGATGCAGAAATCCGCACTCCCACTATTGGAAAGGATTTATCTACTCTCTGTATTAGTTTGGTTCTTGGGTGGCACAAATGGTTTGCACTTGTCTACTAACCTAAAAGTTGGCAGTTTGAACCCACCCAGCAGCACTGTGGAAGAAAGGTCTGGCGATCTGCTTCCAAGATTACAGCCAAGAAAACCCTATGGAGTAGTTCCACTACTTAACACATGGGGTCACCATGAGTCAGAATCAACTGGATGGTAATGGGTTTGATTTGGGTAGCCACGAGCAAGAAAGGACTTCACAGTGTTTCCCACACACACAGACACACACACACACAGACACACAGACACACACACACACACACACACACACTAGTTTACCAGTATTTTTGTTTTTAGATTTTTTTTTTCCATGTTTGAATCTTTGAGCAGAACCTCACCACTCTTGGATGAGCTGTCAAACTCAAGTTCCTAAAATGATGAACATAGGGAATAGATTCTATACCTATGGTTTTCTTACAAAGATGTTCCTCCAGGATTGATGCTAAAGAAAGCCAAATTGTTGTGGTGCTTCTCACTGCTTTTGCAGATGCTGGCCCCTTTGCCTAAAATGCCTTCCCTGGCTTATCTCCTGAAAAGCCACCTTTTCCCTTTGAAAATCCAATTCAAATGCTATTAATTCATCTGTGAAATCATTCTGGAATCCCACAGTAAAGTCACTCTTTCATTCCTCTAAACATCTACATAATTTTGCACGTACCTCTCTTATATTTACACTAAATTCCACAGTAACTGCTTCTGTAGAGGTCTGTTTTCCTCATCGAGCCTACAAGCTACCCAACGCTCAGCACTTACTGCAGCACTTGGTGTAGAAAAAAATTCTCGATAAATATTTGTAGAAATGATATTGAAAAACTATGTCATGTTATCTTTGAAAACTATAGTCTTTGGGAAGATTTAAGAAGACCAGTATTTACTAGGGACTGCTTATTTTCTTCCTGAAGTGCTTAACTGAAATCACAACTGTTGAACTGGATCCATTCTAAGTTCACTGAGAGTGCTTCATCCCTTAAAATTTCACATTAGTATACTTTTCCTCTTCCTTGCAACTTGGCCTGTTTGTCTTTAGCACAACCATCAGCTTATGGAATCACAGGATGTGTCATATAATAATGAGAACTAGTGAGAAAAGCGGAACCTAGAGAAGCCAAAGAACTTACAAAAAATCCCACAGCTAAGTGGGAGAGGTGAGGCAGAACTCTGGCTCTCTGGGCTTTTGTTACTCTTTCTAGTAGACCACGATACTATTAAAAATAGGAACATTTTTAAGCTTATGTATAGCTTTCTAACCTTTCCAGAGTTTTTCTTTGATAGTTAGAGATGGCACTATATCACTGAAAAAGTTGCCACCAGTTTTGGGAAAGACCTTCCAAACAAGATCATTCATAAATTCAATGGTAGAAGTATCGTCCCATATTGAACAGTGTGGTTTCCTTGTCTCAGTGGCAAATAAAGCAATAAAACACAAATACATATTCATCCAGACATAATGACTTTCTATAATAAAATGATGAGAATCTGCACTGACCATAGTCTGTATTTTCCGGCTCCCAACAATTTGATGGCCAAAAGTAGGGCGTCTGTGGAACAAAAGAAGTGAAACCCAAGTTAGACAAATAAAGAATTAAAGAGTTTCTGATTTATTCTCCGTTTTTATCTCCAACAATTATCCAGAATAGTTGTTAATAATTTGTTTTCAATCCAGAACAAGTGCCCAGAAAGATAATATAGCGTTTTTTTCTCTACATTTGCTTTGTCAAGAAAATGTTCAGCCTCCGAATTTGTGCAGAACCAGCAGGTATTTAAAATGGCGTATTTTTGCTACAATTTTACATTAACTGACAAAGGTAAAAGGTCTGATTTCATTATTCAAACAAAGAGTGCTGATCCACAGAGAAGACTGTAATTATTCTTCTCAGTCAGTCTTATGGCAAAACATGTTTACATATAACAAATTACTTTCTGTTCATATGTATCTCGACACTAACTTCAGTAGATCCAAAACTCCAACCATCAAAATCTTTCCCCGAGATTTGGAAGTAATTTGTCTAGTTCTGTTAATTAAATAAAGCAGCTGTCAACATCATCCAACTAGATGAAAACAACTTGTTCTTCTCACTTTTAAAAAACATTACTTCATAAAGGCACTTATTATCCTAAGTTTTTAAACTGCACAAACCAGAGGTCATTTAAAAAAAAAAAAAACTAATAGCGTCTTAGCTGATTGATTTGATTAACAAAAGGAACAGTTCTGAATCTGTAAATTCTACAAACTGAATTGACTAAGCTACAAAGAAAATGTATGGCCAGGAGAGACCCTGTTATTATCATCGGCAGTTCAGTTTTTCTAAATGCACTTTTCTAGCCCTGCTAGTTGGACATGCTTAGCTCCAAACTATGAACAAACTACAAACATCTGTCGACTCCATCAAGTCTTATTCCCCAGAATGGGATGACACCAGGACTCAATGGAGCAGTGACTGCAGGCATCAGTGTTGTGGGATTAATTATATTTATTAGGCAATTAGATTAACTATCTGTGTGCCATGAGCATACTGTGGTAATCTTGGTCACATATAAACAATATATTTGCTAATCAACAATAATTCTTGTTTATTAAAATGTTAACCTTAGGATCAAAAATTACTCTAATTTAATAATAAGCTGTTTTAAGCTACCATTACTTTCAGTTTAACTGCACAAAGAATAAAGCTCCATTGTTCTAAATCCTTTTTGAATTAATTAATTTACCTAATTTAAATTGCTTGAATAATTAGATCAGTATCACCATTTCAGGAGACTGCTTTGTCTCTTAGTTATTCACCGCAAAAACTTCTAAAGATTATTAGCTTTAGGATATAAAGGTCCTAAGGAAGTGGAGGAATCCCGGGGTGGGGGGTACAAATGGTTAATGCACTCAGCTTCCAATCAAAAGGTTGGAGGTTCAAGTCCACCCAGAGGTACCTGGGAAGAAAGGCCTAGTGACCTACTTCCAAACAATCAGCCACTGAAAAACTTGTGGGGCACAGTTCTACTCTGACACACATGGGGTCACCATGAGTCCAAGTCCACTCGATGGCAATTAGTAAGGAAGTGGAAGTGAGACTGTTTTTGGGGAACAATGATCTTTGAGAACAAAATTTTCTTAAGTATAGCCTCTCTTTGTTCTCAGTTTTCCTAAGCACTTTCTTAGGTGCCCAAATTACTATTCAGTCGTATATAACCAAAACCAAACCCGCTGCTATTGAGTGGATTCCAACTCATAGAGACCCTATAGGACAGAGTAGAACTACCCCACAGGGTTTCCAAGGAGCAGCTGGTGGGTTAGAACTGTCAACCTTTTGGTTAACAGCCGGACACTTAACCACTGCATCACCAGGGTTCCATTCAGTCACATATATATACATATATATACATATAAAACAGCTGCCACCGAGTCGACTCCAACTCATGGTGACATGTGTGTCAGAATAGAACTGTGCTCCATAGGGTTTTCAATGGCTAAGTTTTCAGAAGTAGATCACCAGGCCTTTCTTCTGAGGTACCTCTGGGTAGATTCAAACCACCAACCTTTTGGTTAGTAGTTGAGTGCATTAACTGTTTCCACCATCAGGGACTCATTATTTAGATATAGAGCATTTAACAGTACTCAGGACAGGTGAACAGAATGCTCCCATGTCTGAAAGTTGGACGGTGCAGAAAATCCTCTGGAAAATACCTGCAGTAAATAATTCACAGTTTGAATTCTGACATTATATGTGCTTTAATTTTATAAGCTATAATCCACTAATCAGTTATTAATTAATCATAAAGTCTAATGAAGTGTAGAATACACTTCAGGTAAATAATTGTGAAGTCCAGTATCAATGCCTGCACAATGACTGAAATTAGAGTCCATGATCATTTACTGAAAGAATAATTGTGTCTGTCTCATTTGGAAATGATCTAGAATGACTTTTATCAGTTTGCAAGTTTTCTAAGATGTCTTCTGCTTCAGGTGAATATGCACAAACGAAGCAGTATGCTTCTTAGTCTTCACAGTCTTGCAGAAGGGCCTCAGCTACCAACATGCAAAAGGTTTGTATAATTAGCTCTTTTCTGCAGCATCAAGCATCCCTCTGAGAGTTTGCTTGGACTGAAGATGGTTCTGGATTATAGGCAGCCAGAATAGAATAAATTCAGTTACATCTCTCTACCTTCTCCCTGATAGCTAAAAGCAATTTATAGATGGAGAGTCTCCCATCTTCCTGAATTCCATTAGTTTACTTTCTGAATTTCCCTTAAGCTTTTTATTTAAATAGAACTTTAATCATCACGCAATTTAGCTTTCCACAAATCATCTTAACTAAGCACACTCCATCTTTCTTTGGATTTATTGCTTTTTCTGTCTTAAATTTAACATTAATTAGTTTCTAACTAGCCTAAGTCAAAGTCAAATGTTATCATTTTCAAACTTTCTGAAAAGAAAATTAACCAACAAGCAAAATGCTGGCTTCTATTTAACTATTAAAGAACACTTTCATTAAACTTACTTGAAACCGGTAAAAGGTGCCATCATCCTTCAGTGTGAGGACATGATCTGAGATTGGAAAGAAATAACCGTGGGCAGCCATTAATGTTCCCAAATGGAGCGCCTCCACTGTTCCGTGAAAACAAAAAAGAACACAGAAAAGCTTTAATTCCTTATTTATCTTTTTATTGTGGACTTAGAGGAGTACAACATTTTTTTTTCTGGTTCCCTCTGAGCACATACTTGCATTTGAATTCTTGACATCCTGAAAATCTTGTGTTCTACATTTTCTTTCAGCTCTTTTACGCAAGGTATTAAGATGACTGTGGTTCCTGGGTAGTGAGTGAGTGAATGTGCAGTAACCACACAGCCCACTCTCACTCCACGAAGACCAGCCATTGAGAACATAGAGTTGTGGACACTGAAACCAGAAGGCTATCACAGAATCTGGTCCCCTCATTTTTATAGATGGCACATGTTTTGCTACATGTTAATGTTCTACAAACAATTCTATTTGGCATTTATATAGCAATTTAAAATTTTGAACTGTTTTTACTCAAACTGTCCCTGACCTCTGTCATGGATGTCTAATATTATTAGTGATTTTACTAAGGAAATAGACCATTATTATGTGATGCTGACAGAGAATGTTGATGTATCTATGACCAATTATGTTGCACCAAGTGAGCCTACCACATAATGGTAGAAAGGCCACCACTCGTCTGTTAGTTTGCATGTTCCTGTAGCTTCCTATAGCTGGAAGCTATACCACTAGTATTTCAACTACCAGCAGGGTCACCAATAGAAGACTGGTTCAGCAGATATTCTAGTCTTAGACAGACCAGGAAGAAAGGCCTGGTGATTTACTTCTGAAAACCTTATAGATCGCAACAGAACACTGTCTGACTTGCCTTCTTTGGACATGTCATCAGGCAGGATCAACTGTCAGAGTTGAAGATCATGTTTGAAGAATAGAGGCAAGCAAGGCTGAGGGAGACCCTTGGTAAGATGGATTGGCACAATGGCCACAACAATAAACTTGAACATGTGGCGATTGTGAGGATGATGTAGGACCAGGCAACGTTTCATTCTGTTGTGCACAGGGTTGCTATGAGTTGGAGTGATTCAATGACAGCTATCTATCTCTAAGTGAGCCTACAGTACTATGATTGACTGTCTAGAATACTCTAACTCTCAATATTCTATAGTGAGTATCCTAGATATAACTATGAAGAGATTTGACATTTAAAAAATTATACTTTTGAAGAATCAACAAAATCAACAAACCACTGGCCAGACTGACAAAAGAAAAACAGGAGAGGGTGCAAATAACCTAAATAAGAAATGAAATGGGTGACAATACAACAGACCCAACTGAAATAAAAAGGATCATAACAGAATATTATGAAAAACTATACTTCAACAAATTTGAAAACCTAGAGGAAATGGAAAAATTTCTAGAAACACACGGCCTACCTAAACTACAACAAAGTGATGTTGAAAATCTGAACAGACCCATAACAAGAGAAGAGATTGAAAAGGTAAT